GTCGCGGATTCACCTTTCGTTGCATTCGAGCCAGCACTGCTCCAGCATCTGCGTAAGTATGGCGTCCACCTCGCATGCCTGCCGAAGCAGGAAGAGGAGGATCGCGTCGAAGACGATGGCAGCACTCCCGCGCGCACATCTCCCAGGCGCGCTTTGGAGACCCCCCCCGCGCGCACTCCGGAGCACACTTGGGGACTTCCGCGCCCATTCTTGCGAGCGGGCGTGAGGGCGCACGCCCGTGAGAAGAGCAGTGGGAAAATGAGCATGATTTACCCACACAGTAACCGCTAAAGGTCTTCAGTTTTGGTTCTCCCCCTTTCTTCCCTCGGCGGTGGATTGGACTAATCCTAAAACCTCCTCTTCCTTCTCCTTCTCCTCCTCCCTTCTCCTCCTCCTCCTCCTCCTCCTCCTCCCCCTCCTCCTCCTCCTCCTCCCCGTCCTCCTCCTTTTTCTCCTCCTCCTCCTCCTCCTAGAACTCATTCATGGTATGTGTGTTCGTGCTTGGGACAGTTCTCGATCAGATCGGCCTGATGTCTTCGACTTCTTGCGAACGTGCAACGATGACGAGCGGATGGTCATGGTCGAGAGTCACTGGAGGCAGCTGGACGATATCGTGATGATGATCAGGGGCACGCTGCGGGATCCAGAAGATGCCATACGACCTAGGCAAGAGCAAGGGTTACTTCGTGGGCGAGGCCAGGCACGAAGCAGGCCCTGTCCAAGCTTGGCTGCATGGCTAGCGTTGGTGGCAGCAGCTGTTGGGACATCGATGATGACACGCTGCGATGGCAGTGGTGGAGCGAAGGATCAGCCGCGCATGCGCAGGATCAACGGCCAATGTGCGGCGAGAAGCGGACAGACGGCGGCAGCAGCTACGTCCTCATCGTCAATAGCATCGTCGACTACGGCAATGCTGACGGGCACAAGCATTGAGGATGGCCTCCCGCCATGTGTTGTGTTGGATGGCGTCCGATCGCAAATCCAGGAGACGACCTTCCTGGTTAGCGTCGCCACGCCTCGATGTTCTGGAAGTCCTGGGGATAGCCTCCCAGGCGCGGAGTCGTTACGTAGCGAGCTGGATGGCATTATATCGCAAATCAAAGGGATGGCCTCCCCGGTTCAAGTCGCCACGCTTCGAAGTGCGAGCTCACATGGCAGGCTGGGGCAAGGCGAAAGCGGTCAACAGGCGGCCAGACTTTTCCAGCTCAACGTTGGATGGCGAGTTTGACCCATTGGACCAGATCGACGCCGAGGGTGCATGAAGCTGAAGCTGAGTCACGACTCCGAGAAGTTGATGTACACCTTCGTCTACGTCCCCTGATGGGGAGTGCCACCGTGGCGGCGCATGAGAGGCGTGGGTGGGCCCGCGCCTTAGCTCGAGGCTAGAACTGCGTGCGCGCGGAGAGTCGTTCATTCATTCATTCATTCATTCATGCATTCATTCATACATTCATTAATTCATTCATTCCTCCTCCTTCTCCTTCTCTTCCTCCTCGTAGTCGTAGACGCAATCGTAGTCGTAGCTGTCGTCGTTGTTGCGCGGCGGGTGCCGCGTAAAACAACAATTCGTACCCCGTATTGGCGGGACCCCAGTGCGTCAATAAGGCCGCCGAAAACAAATACTCAGTTGCCCCTTTATGAAGGGGGGTCCTACGAGAACGAGTTCGGCGCATGTTTCCGAGAGGGCCGTCACAATGCGTAATCCACCACTGAGGCCGTAACCATTTTGGCTCGGGTGTTGGCAGGTTTGCCTTTGCCCGTGCGCGAGGCGGGCGCGCGCGCGTTCTTGGCCTAGTCTATAGGTTAGGTGGGGGCCTGGAACATTGGGGTGGCGCGGTGGTTCGGTTGGCCCGCGCGGGCCTGAAGCGCGCGCCCCCTGCGGTCGCGCGATGCGGGCCGGCCATCGCAGTGCTGCGCGGCGGCCTGGCCGGCCGAACCATTGGTTGGCACCTTGTGTGGGGCGATGGGAGGTCCCCGAGCCTGCAAGGGCTGCTCGCCCAGAGAAGCCCTCAGACTCGGTGGGGAGCGCGAGGGTCGCCGAGCCTGGGGGGGCTCCGCGATTTCCTCCGGGACGCGTCCGGGTCCCGTTCCCGAAGCCCCGCCCTGGGCAGGCGCGGCTGGTGCCCAGGGGGGCGGCAAGGAGAAACGGCCGTATTTCAGGACCCTTCCGGTTGCGGCCCGTGACAAGTGGCGGGGTGAGCAACAACAAGCATCCCCGCCTGCCAAGCCGGCCCGAGCTCCAAGTGCGGGGCCGAACCCGGCCGCCCGCCCTCTGACCGGCGGCGGGGGAGGCGCGGGCCCGCCTGCGTTGCCCCCCACCCCTTTGGTACTGGCTCTGGGGCCAGCGACGGCCGGGTCACATGGCGGGGCGCCTGGGCAACCGATTGGGTTGTCGGCTGGGCTTGGGGAGGGCCCCCGCCCGACGCCGATGGGATAGCCGAGTGTGCGTCCCACCGCTCGGCTGGGGGAAGCTGGAACTGCGTGCGCCGGGCTCGGAAACCACATGGGTTCTCGGGGCTGGTCCAGAACGCCGAATCGTACGGGTACGGTTTCCACCTATGGGGGCTGGTTCGGGCAGACGTTCGACAAGCTGGGGCTGTCAGTCTTTGGCCACTAGTGGAGTACCGCGACGTGCTGCATCATGATTGCCATGGTCATCCTCCTGCACGGGACCTTGGCCTACTGCATCAACGCGGCGCTGCTCCCCGACACGTGGTGCGGGAGGGGCCTCCGCTGGACCTGGGGCCAGCTCACGCGGTGCTGTTGGCGGGCGCCCCCCCCCCCCCCAGGCCCAGCCGCGCACCGTCCCCCGCCTCTGCCTCAGCTGTACGTTTCGCCGGCGAGGCCCCGGCGTGGGCGAGGATACGGATGCGAACTACGCGTGCGCGGGCGCGGCACTGGACGCCAGCCCCTCCATCTGCTAATACGGAAGTAGAAGAAGCACGTTGCCCCGGGTGAAATGCGATTGCACCAGCAGGCCGCGCCTGGAAAGGCACGGGCTCAAAATCTCCGAGCGAGCGAGGTTCTCAATTGCACCAGCCGCCAGTGGCGTCAAGATTTGACCGCCTTGGGTACAGTGCGTCTGTGTCGGCCGGCGGGTTGAGCCTGCTTCGCCCCATGTACGTAGATCAGCGCACCGCGATCGTCCACGCCCAGATCGCTCATCTCGCGGAGCATGCCAGGACCACCGCCTTCCGTATCGTTCGGGCCGGCTTGTGCAAGATTTGCGGGGGGGGCTTTGGTGGGCCTTGATTTGCATCGGCGGGCTGACTACCTTGTCCCGCCGATCGAGAAAAGAACACTTCATCAACGAGACGGTGGGTCCGCGCCCGCTGGTACCCGAGTCCGAGAGCGAGCCAGAGGACGAGGAGCGGCCTTGCCTCGCTATCGAGGTGGGAATGCAGCTGGCGCAGGGCGCCCGCCCCCTCGAGCCTTGGAGGCCGCGGCGATCGGTTCCTGGCGGAGCCCAGTACCTTCCTCGACGAAGACGCGCTGGTGTACGATGCCCACCCCCCTTCGGAGCAGACGCCTTCACGCATCTGCCTTTTGCGCGCATCACGCGCAGACATGTGTTGGTCCATCTGGGCTGGGCGAGAGTGCCGCCTGGTCGCCCGCCCCCGCAAGGCACAAGGCTCCAGTGGAGGTGCCCTTATAGCAGCGCGCACCTGCTGTGCCGCGCCGGCAAGGGCCCTCCCGCACACCCTCCTCATCCGCTTCATACGCCTCGATCCTCCGCCTCCCTTCTTCGCCCCCTCCTTCCCTCTTTGCCTCCTCCTGCCTCCCTTTGCCTCCTGATCCTCATCCCTCTTTCTGGGGTGGGCGTCTGCCGGACCGCATCGGGGCCCTTCTGCCGCCAGGGGCAGACGTCACTCTCGCCGCCGCTGCAGGTGTCTGCTCGAGATGCCGATTGGCCCGCACTAGGGGTGAACGAGACTCGGGATGAAGAGTGCATCCCATGGAACGCCTCCCAAGTCTAGGGCACGTGTCCCTGGGGGGATCCCCTTGCCGTTTTGTTCCTTGGAGCACCGTGGGATGCGGCCTGGAGTTCTGGCAGCGGTGCGGGCCAACGGATGCATGCTCCACAGAATTCCCCGCTGTCGGAACATGTTATTCCCCATCCCATCATATCTTTCGAACACTTGATCCATGTCCACAACCAGCTGCGCTGCGCACTCACCGCTCAGTTGCCCTGAGCGCGCGATCGGAGCGAACCACCAGCTGAGATGCAATTTTGGCCGCGCTGGCGGCCCAGGGCTGGGTGTTCTATATTGCACGGGGTCTTGAGCTGCATGGCGAAAGTGCATCAAGACACATGGCGCCGCACCTTCGCCATGGTGCTGGCGCCTTGAGATCGTCGCCTGCCTGCTTGTTAGCCCCGAGCTGCCCCCTCGCTCCTTCCTCCCTCTCTCTGCGTCCAAGCTTGCATTGCAGTAGGTTACCGCTGTGCAGTTGCGGCGGCTACCCAGGCGCGGGCGTTCAAGGTTCAACGCCGCCAGTGGCCCAGCTTCGTTTGATGTCGAACGATCTGTGCTATCGAAAGGCCGGGATCGTTCAAGGTTGAACGATCCACGCGGTGTCGGAGACCAACGCGCAAGTCGTCACGACACGAGTTTGTCGTATTGTTGGTGCACCATTTGCTCCTGTCCTGTCTCTTCCACGAGGTCTGCTCGGCAGGACCCGTGCTGTACACCCGCGACGCCTCTGTCCTCGTGGCCCCCGGCGAGCGCGGCGGGACAGCCCATTTCGATCAGATCTGTCTGGTTTGATTTCGATTCCAGCCGGCTCGATCCGACTCAATTCCTACATTCGGACGATTCGATATGGGCCAATCGATGCATGGCGCTGTTGTGCATCCTGGCACGGCCGATCCGATTCGATGTTGATTCCGTGCCGATGCTGTCCGATCCGATGCGCATTCCGAGGTGATCCGATGTCCCGATTCGGTGTTGATGTATCTTGTCTGGAGGAGGGGAGGGACGAGCAGAGCCCAGCGCGCTCAGATCCACGAGCGAGTGTCCGAGAGGATGAAGAGCGGCTACTACGAGCGGGGTAAGGGCGGTCAGGCCAAGGCGATCCGCGCCCTGCATGCAAGGTTCCAGGAGGAGAGCGAGGAGGAGAAAACGGACTTTGGGGTTGCGTAGTCCGAGGCCCATGGTCGTCGTCCCCAGTGCAATGCGTATCACCTGATCCAGCGCTTGCGAGTAACCATCGCGCATGTCCCACTTAGGGGGATTTGCCCCCCTCACCCCACCTTCCGCGCCGCTGGAAGTCTACCCACGGGCGCTCGCGTTCCATGTGCGGGAGACGCTCTACATGCGTTCTGTCCCTTCGGCCCAGGAGCACCTTCGTATCTTAGCGCCTTCCAAGTGCCGATGACTGATTGGAAGTTTTGACGGCACTCTGAGAGAGGGCTTGCCCCCCCCCCCCTCCTCCTGCTGGCATCAGGGGAACGGGTCCCGAGGGAAACGTGCTTTGGATCTCGGGGGCTTTTTCCCGAGGCGCCAGTTCTTCTGACCGTCGTTTCTGACTGTCGCGGGGCTCGTGGAGGGCCAGAAACGACGAAACACTTCCAGGGCCCGTTTTGTTCAGGACCCCGCTGCTTCACGGTGACTTCTGGCAGGCGGGGATGGTTTCGGGCAGCGGCTCCTTGCCCGCCCCGCCTGTGGTCCGTGCCGTCCTGCCTCGTGAGCTCGCCTGTGCTGTCCGGGTGGCCTATAGGAAGACCCAGCAGGAGGGGGATCCATGTACGTTTTCGCTGGTCGGAACGCGCCTTGTTTTTCAAAAGGGCGTTCCCGCTGCAGCGCTGGTGTCGCTGAGAATAGCGGGCTCGCCCCGGCGCGAGCCATTTTCTGGATCCGAGTCCTTCATCGTCTTTGTCGCCCACCGCCTTTTCCCTCATCCGCCTTCCCGTGGCCCTGCTGCTCCTCCCGTACCTCATACTCATGCCCCCTTGCTGCTCATCCTCTTCCTCGTCTTCTTGCTCTCCACTTTATGATTGCGCGTCGCACAAATTGTAATTGTGGGGGTCTGGTCCCCTAGGGCACCTGCCGGCGATCGGAAACGACATCTGCGCAATTGAAATGGACAGGTAGGAGGGGTAGGATGTCAGCTACGCCGCGAGCGCACCTTGCTTGTCCGTCCCCCCTCTCTCCTGCTTGCTCCTCAGGCCCCCTCCTCGGCCCACTGCCTCGGCGCCTCTCCCGCCCACTCGGGCGGAGGGAGCGATGCGCCTACACCGCTCCTGGCGAGGCCCGTGGCTGGGCCCAGTGACGGTGCAACACGGCTGCCTGCCCAGGAGGCCAGCGGGGGGCGTGTGCGCCGATGCCGTGGCATGGCCAGGATATCGGGGTGTCTGAGCTCTCCCTCTTCTTGCCCCCCCCCTCTCCCCCGAGCGGCGCCCGCGAGGCGGAGAGGCCGAGCCTGCCGAGCGCCGCGCCGCACCGGCAGGCGGTGCGCGGCCCGCGGGGGGGGGGGGGGCGTCCGCGCCGCCGCCACGCACGCCGCCGTTCGAGGTCGCGGCCGCGCGGTGTCGGGCAGGGGTTCCGGGACCGGGGGCCCGCGGTGTTGCATCCAGGGTCCAACCTCGGTCTCGGGCCGTGGGTCGTGCGCTGGAGGGCCCAGTCTGATCACGGGATCCGGGGCTTGGATTCTGGAGCATCCGGTGCGAGGAGCCAGCTCGAGGATCCAGGAGGGGGGTTCGAGGTGTTTGGGCGTGGCTCACCCTTTTCGGGGTCTCCAGGAGGCTTCTCGTCGCCGCGGCCTGAGCCGCTTGAAAGATTCCTGACCCACCAGCCCTTCCAGAAATGGTGCTCTCTGCGAGTTTCCAGAAGGGGTCGACAAACGGTGAGAATGTGAGACCTTCAGAAAGTTTGTGGAGGCCTATTGGGGCCATCTTGACTCTCTCTTGCGGCCATTTTGCGAGTTTTAAAGTATGTATCGCGGCTTCCTTGCGGTCCTCTCGAGTTTTCGCGCTTCATTGGAGCCATCTTCAATTACTTCACCTCCTGTGAGCCACAACCGAAAATTGGATTTCGGGGCCCTCTTGGGACGCTCGTGGGGGGCACCTGGAGGCCTTCGGCGCTATCTGGGAACCGTCGTGGGCCCTTCGTGGGGCTCTCTTGGACGTGTCTGGTGGTGCGGAAAGAAGGAGTTATCTACAAGGAAAAGGGACGGGGGAAGGAAGGAGCAGAGGGCGGAGGAGGCGGAGAGGGAGGAGGCAGAGAGGCAGGAGGGGGCGCCTCGCCTTTCACTCCCTCCCCTCCGCCACCCCCTCCGCACCCTCCACCGCCACCGCCCCTCCTTCACCCCACCCCGCTCCTCCCCTCCCCGACCTCCCATCTCCCCCCTCCCCCCTCCTCTGCCGGCGCAGACTCATCTGAGGACGCGAAATGTGAAGAAAAACAGTCAAGCGTCGCCCGGGGCCTGCTTGACAGGCCTGCAGTGAGCAGTCGCGTGTGGCCATGCCGTCTCGCTGTTCTTTACGCGAGTACGTCGGCAGAGTCCAGAGTCCTCCCTTCCTGTCGGGACGAGCGACATGGGTACGGAAAGAATGGGTACAATGCCCAACAGCAGTTCCTGTTCATTTTGAACAGGGCTCGCTGTCCGCGCCGCCGCGGCTTGTGTCCATTTGAGACAGAAGGCCGCCTGTCCAACAGCGGCCGCTGTTGGTTTGGGACAACATTTGTTGTTGGGCGTTGTGCCCATTCTTGCTGTACCCATTTGCGGCATCCGAATCCTCCCCGCCCGCCGCCCCGTCCTCCGCCCCCCTCCGCCCCCCCTCCCTTCCCCCGCCCCCCGTGCCTGCAGGGCGGGGGGCGCCCCCGCGTCGGCCGCGCCCAGGGTGGGCCGCCCCCGCCGGGACCGCCGCCGGGGGCGTGGGGCCCGCCGCCAGGGGCGCGTCGGGGGTGGCGCCGTCGTCGTCGTCGTCGTCGTCGTCGTCGTCGCCGTCGCCGTCGCCGTCGCCGTCGCCGTCGCCGTCGCCGCCGCCGCCGTCATGGTCTCGGGGCCGGCTCTGACTTGCCGAGCGAATTGGGGCTGGCCAGCCGTTCCAGCAGCGACGCTCGCGCCAAGACGCCGATGAAGTGGAGAATCGCTCCTGGAGCAACAGTGCCGTTCCACTCGTTGTCCTTCTCGTCGTCGTCGTCGTCCTCCTCTTCTTCTTCCTCCTCGTCGTCGTCGTCCTCCTCCTCCTCCTCCTTCTAGCACTTGTCGCCATTGATCGTCGTCGTCGTCACTGTCCTCGTCGTCGGCTCCGCCGACTCCGTCTTCGGTTGTAGTCGTCCTCCTCCTCTTCCTCCTCCTCGTCGTCCTCTTCCTCCTCCTCCTCCGCCTTCTCCTCCTCTTCGTCCTTGTCGTCGCCGTCAGTGTCGTTGCCCTCGTCGTTCGTTGTCGTCGCCCTCCTTGGCATCGTATTCCTTCCGCTCCTCCTCCTCCCCCTGCCTGGGGCGAGAGGAGGGTGGGGGAGGGGGAGGCGGAGGAAACAGGAGGGGAGGAGCACGAGCAATGAAGGACGGATAGGAAGAAACCTGGAAGGACAACGAGGAGGGGAAAGAAGGAAAGGAAGGAGGAAGGGGGATAGGGGGTAAGGGGAGGGGGAGGAGGAGCAGGGCGGCCTTCTGCGCCATCCCGCATGTCTCGGCCACGTTCACGGGTACGCCCACGGCCAACGCAAATCCCCCCGTTAGGGCGGCCAGCCGCAAAGGGCGTCTCGGAGGACGCCAACTATTTTTCTTGCCCTTCAGCTACTAATGCCACCCCATGCGCCTGCCTCCTGTTTTTTTTGTTGCGATGTTTATTATTATTTGGTTTCGTATTCTCCTGCCGCTCTTGGTATTCCTCCTCCCCCTCGTGCTTTTGATCCTCGGAGCATCCTGAGGATAGCCACAGTTTCAGGAAGACGAGGGGGGAAGACGAGCAGCAGCAGCAGCAGCAGCAGCAGGGGGGATGATGCAGAGCAAGGGACGGAGAGAGAAACGCGGGGGTGGAGGAATGAAGAGGGGAGTGGGACAGAGAGAACGAGAAAGAGAGAACAAGTGGAACAGAAACATAAGGATATGGAGTGGGGGGGGGAGGGGGAGGAGGAGGAGGAGGAGGAGGAGGAGGAGGAGGAGGAGGAGGAGGAGGAGGAGGAGGAGGAGGAGGGGACGGGGTGGGAGTACGTCCGCTATTCAGAGCACAAGGACTACTACCAGGGCCACGGCGACTACAAGCTGCGCGGCGTCACCTACAGCACGCACGGCGATCCCTTACGAGCAGAATCCGCTACTGGTCGAGGACGTCGACTCGGCGGAGGCGGAGGCCACGCGCACCCGAAGAGCTCGCCGAAACGCGCGGCTCTCCCGGAGCCCCCGCGCAAGAAGCGCCGGGGCGAGCAGCTGCCCAGCTACGCGAGGAGCCCGACCCCATACGTCGCCTAGCGGCTACCAAGCTAGTAGGTGTCGGCACCATACACCACAGTCCAAAAAGTGCGATTGGCCATTATTGTTACCATCGCTGCATGTGTTATTAGGCCGTCTTTGTCGCAGTCGGATAGTGCATATTCTGTTTACCACAGCGCTGATACAGCCATTTCGGCAATACGCCCGATATCACCGACGCTGTCTGCTATCTCACTGGGGACATACGCAATCAGCACACACGAAGCATAGTGTCCATACCATACGAGTCACATCTCCTCAGCTGCGTGCATATTGTCTGTACTAGTTATGCCCCACGTGCCATATTCGAGGGCACCAAAGGCCCTACCGAGATACCCACCCATGTTGTGTGCCCAATGCTGGTGGCAGTTACGCTACCATGCGTTCGAGGTCTGCACACTATGTACCCCATGTTCGTAGCTTACAGCGCAAGCTCTCAGCTTACGCCTACCTTACATGGGCGTCGCCGTCTACCTCTACATGTCGCGCCACACCAACCGCTACCCGAGGTACGAGACGACGGGCCACGACGAGACCGCGACGTCGTACGCCGAGGGGCCGCACGGCCAAATCGGAGTCTGGGTCCAAGACTTACCCGCTCCCATTTACACTCTCGGACGGGTCCTTTTCTGTTTGCCGGACGCATTGACTCGCCAAGATGTCGCAGAACCCGACGGCGCGTACGGCTTCTACGCCTCCGACATCCATGCGACCTTCACGCATATTTACAAGTATGTTGAGCCCAGATACGTACACGTATACGAAGCTACTTGTCCAGCAGGTTGTTACTTGCCATTGCCTGACGAGCGCGAGGGCGTGGGTCGGCACTGGCAGAACCCCATGCCGTTACCGCAATGTTTGACTTACGCGCTCCAGCTGCCTGATCATCGAGATTGAAGAATACACGGACACGACGATCTTCCAAGTATGCATTTCTAGCGTTGACAAGACGTTCATACCACAGTTACCAATTTACCAGACACCCAACGTCGGCGACTTATTCGTGCATGTGCCAGTATTCCAGCACTACCCGCTGAGACGTTTACCTAGATGGAGCTCCGCGACCCGCTCCGCCAGAACACCGTCTTCAAGAACGGCGAGAACCTCGTCTACAAACCTACCGAGAAAAGGGGAACCCACTACTTCGGCTTTGCCATCAGTCCAGCGACTTCCAGGAGACCCCAACAGCACCTACTACAGGCGACATGTGCCGTTTTTGGCTACGCAGGGCACGGAGCGCCGGCACACCGATGGAAGCCGACCAGAGAAGTTACAGCACAGAGCTACAGCTGAAGTCATTTTCCTGACAAGCTCCTTGCGCCTCTTTCACCTTATGTGCAAGATGTTCCAAGTCTAGGTCCTGCGAGGACTACGTAGTCTCCGCTGGGAGGGGGTGACCTGCGACGTGACCGGTTGAACTCCCCCGCCCGAGGCCCACGGCGACGCCCACCCCTTCCGCGCCCTCGGCGCCAGGGTCGACGCTGCCCCGTCGGGGCGCGGCGGAGGCGGACGTGCTCTACAAGACACCTTGAGCCGTGGCCGCGTGCGCAGGCGGCCTCTGGCGCCGCGCACGGCCGGCTCTGCGGCAGGGCCCCCGCGGGGGCGCGCGAGTCGCGGGCGTGCGGAGCTGCGGAGTCAGCGCTTTGCGGCAAGAAGAGGAGGAGGAGGAGGAGGAGGAGGAGGAGGAGGAGGAGGAGGAGGAGGAGGAGGAGGAGGAGGAGGAGGAGGGGGAGGGGGAGGAGGAGGAGGAGGAGGAGGAAAAGGAGGAGGAGGAGGAGGAGGAGGAGAGGAGGAGAGATTTGATCGAAATCGGGCGCGCACGCCCCGCCCCCCCGCCTCGGCGGCTGGGGCGGGGCGCTCAAGCGCGCCCCCGGGCGCGCTTGGAGAATGGAGGAGGAGCAGTAGCGGCAGCAGCTGCAGCGCAGCATGGGGAGCACAGACAACACAGATGCGGTCGGGGAGGCGAAGGGGGGGAGATGGGAGAGGGGGGAGGCGAGCTAGGTGCGCGCGCGCCAGATCCGGCACCCAACCCCCCCCGCGCACCCTTTCCGATTGCGCCGTTGCCTGTTCGTTCCACTGGCGTGGGTGCCATGAGTGACCATGGTCCCCACGAAGACCCCGTCGCGTGATGCGCGGGGTGGAAGAGGGAAAAAGAGGAGCGGCGGCAACGACGAGGAACGAATAGGACCCAGCAGGTATGAACAATAAAGGCCAGCCGTCGATCCTGATGTGCCGGCGACGCTGCAGCGGGAACAACATTATTCCCAACATCCTAAGTGGGGTTCTTGTTCCCCGCATCCCAAGTGGGGTGCTAGTTTTCTCTGGACACCCGCCGCGCAAGAACCTCGCCCCTCCTTTTTCGCCCCGCTCGCGCATTCAACCTGTCTCAGCATCATCCTCACCGTCGAACATCGTCACCATATGTCTTCGATCATCGGTATCATCGCCATCATTCATCATCATAATACTCATCACCACCACCGTCATCATCGCTCGACCACTCATCAGCATCAGCATCATCATCACCTTCACCATTTTTATTCTATGCCCTCTCATCATCACTTACTCATCCATCATCATCCCTCAATTACTCATCGCTTCGTCACAACCCATTCCCCAGCTTGAGTATGGACAAAATATCAAGCAGAAACTTCGTCTGTGAGTGGATTGCGGGGAGGTCTCAGGCGGGACCCCCCTCCCTATGGGGTCCGCGCTTCATGTTCGAATCCGACGCGGGTCATCCTCAATCGTGTAACAGTTGTCATCCTTAGGTTCCGCAGGCTTGAATATGGAGGAAGTATCAAGCAGGAACCTCGTCTGGGAGTGACGTGCGAGGAGGTCTCAGGCGGGAGTCCCCCTCTTTATGGGGCCTGCACAACACGTTCGAATCCGAGGCGGGTCATCCAAAAACTTGGGCTCCTCATACTTGAAGATGGAGGAAGTCTTAGGCGGGAGCCTCGTTTGTGAGCGAATTGCGAGGAGGTCTCAGGCGGGGGGCCCTCCTTTATGGGGTCCACACTTCATGTTGGAATCCGGATCGGGTCGTGCAAACACGTGTAACCGTCGTCACGTTTGGATTCCCCATATTCTATGATGGAGGAAGTCTCAGGGTGGAGCCTCGTCTGTGAGTGAATTGCGAGGGAAGTCTCAGGCGGGACCCCTCCTCCCATGGTGCCCACATTTCATTTTCGAATCCTAGGCGGGTTACCCCACAAATTGTAACTGTCGTCACTTTTGGGTTTCTCGAGATTGGAAATGGAGGAAGTATCAAGCGAGAACCTCGTCTGTGAGTGAATTGCGAAAGCGTCTCAGGCGGGAGCACCCTCCTTGTGGGGCCCACGCGTCATGTTAGAATCCGGGGTGGGTCATCCAAAAACTTGTACCTGTCGTCACTCTTGGGCTCCGCAAGCCTGAGTATGGAAGTCTCAGGGTGGAGCCTCGTCTGTGAGTGAATTGCGAGGGAAGTCTCAGGCGGGA